GTCGTCGTCGTCGTCGTCGTCGTCGTCGTCGTCGTCGTCGTCGTCGTCGTCGTCGTCGTCGTCGTCGTCGTCGTCGTCGTCGTCGTCGTCGTGCCGGCGGGGATCGGCGCCCATCCTGCCCCGAGGCGCCCACCGCAGCCGGCTTGGGCGCGGGTGCGGTCTGCGTCGGCGCGGGCGGCGGCGGAGGCGCTGGCGGCGAGGAGAACCTCCGCCCGCGGAGCGCGCACAGCGCGCGCAGAGACGGGCAGCGCCTGACGGGCTCGCCACATCCTCCCGACTCCCCCATCTGTTTTCTTTTGGCAGAGCGCAAGGAACATCCGCTTCAGCTGTGTGAACCACTTGAGAGATTGAAAGCCGGAATCTCCGCCGCTTCGCTTGAGGCTTCGTCCAAGGCGAGCGACTCAGCAGTACAAGGCACGAGCATAAAAGCTCCATGCGCAACCCAATGGCTCAAATAGCCACTCCTGTCCGCGAAGACCCGAAAGTCCAATGGTCCATGCGGCGGCCGCGCACTCCCCCATCCGCCCTGCCCCTCCTGCAACAACAAACAAACCACAGCAACAATCTGTTCAGTGTACAAATCAAAATATTCAGCGCCTGCGGCGTGCTGATTTTGAATTCCTTCCAGGTGGAGCTGGAGAGCCCGCGACCCACCCGCGACCCAAACTACGTCCACTGAACAAGCCAAAAATTCGGCGCCTGCGGCGGGCTGTTTTTGCATTCGTTCTGGGTGGCCTACCAGCGATCCCCCCTGGGCTGAACTTGTCAGAGCACGCAAATCGGCGCATGCGGCCGGCGGAGGAGGAGGAGGAGGAGGAGGAGGAGGAGGAGGAGGAGGGCCGAGGAGGAGGAGGAAAAGGAGGAAAAGGAGGAAGAGGTGGAGGAGGAGGCGGAGGAGGAGGAGGCGGACGACGACGACGACGACGACGACGACGACGACGACGACGACGACGACGACGACGACGATGAGGACGAGGACGCGGACGAGGAAGAGGAGGAGGAGGAGGAGGAGCAGGAGGAGGAGGAGGAGGAGGAGGAGGAGAAGGAGCAGGAGGAGGAGGAGGAGGGCGCAATCGACAGGGAAGGTGAGGGTCACGAGGCCCGATGGCTCGACGCCCGCGTCGCCCGCGCCCGCCCCCTCATTCTTATCCGCAATTGCGGGGTGCTACGTATTGCGCAACAAAAATTACACGACATATCCGCCACGGTGCCTTCGGCACGTAGTAGAGTGCCCCAAGGCTCATGCAGCTCTGCGAGGTAAAGGGCTTGTGGTCCTTATTTCCCCAATCAGAGCTTGTCTCTGTAGGGGTCCTAGCGGATTCATATGGTTAGGTTAATTAAGTTTGTCGCCGATTTTGGATGCACGCCCGGGTGCCCGGGTGCCCGGGTGCCCGGGCGTGCCCAGGGGTGCCCAGGGTGCCCAGAGGTGCCCTATAGCCCTATAGCCCTAAGCCCTATAGCCCTAAGCCCTATAGCCCTATAGCCCAAAAGCCCTATAGCCCTACAACTCAAGAGCCCTATAGCTCTATAGCCCTTAGCTCAGTAGCCCTATAGCCCTATAGTCCGCTAGCCCTATAGCCCTGATTGGGTTTTTTTCTCCAGTATCAGTAAAGAAGGAATCCCCGGATTCCCGGGCGGAGCTGGGCGTCCTGCACGCTGCCGGAGCGTGTCGCCCGAGTTTCTGGGCCGCCAAGAGAGCCCCAAGACGGGCCAAGAGGACCCCAAGATACCCCCAAAGACGGCCGAAGAGAATCCCGACTCTGGTGCTGGATTGCGAAAAATCTCGAGCGAAAAGGCCGCTCAGGCATCTGTGAGCAGCAGCTGTCTGGTTCTGAAGGAATCCCCTTGTGGTGCTAAATTGTAAAGTCTCAAGCGAAACGGTCGTTCCAGCATCCGCAAGTAGCGGCAAGAATACTTTGAAGGGCCTCCCTGTGGTGCTACATCCCGAGGAAGTCTCAGGCGAGAACGCCCTTCCTGAGGTTCGGGTCCTCTCTGGCCAGGGCCTCTCGGAGCAAATTGTGAGGAAGTATTGCACGGGAGCGTTGTTGGGGGGAGAAGTTTGGGCGGTCCCTCGAAACGCTTAAGCGTGAGCCTCAATTTCAAAGGAAATGCAGCAGGCGTCGAGGCGAGAGCGCCCTGAAGACCATAGGGGGTCCCAAACATTAATGATTGTTGATCAATTAATCTCCAACAATAAGTAGTCAGAATCCGCCGGGCCACGGATTCGCGCTTCACCCACGCACCCAGGGATGGTGTAAGTCCGTTCGGCCCTCACACTCTGATTTGGCTGCGCGCTCAGTGCGACACAACCAAAACACAAAATCTGACGAGACCCTTCTGCCCTGGCACCTCCTACAGCTGCGCTGGCAAACCATCGCCTCAGGACACCGGGCCTCGTGGCGTGCAAGATGCCCACAGACTCTTCGTGGCAGGGGAACGCTGCAGCCAGATGCCCGCCATCGAGGATGGCATCTACCTCACACTCAGACGAGAAGCTTCAGACCGAAGGGTTCCATTGTTGCACCCCACACGCGCAACTCGACGACGGCGACAACCTCACGAAGCTGCACACGGTGGCCAGGACCTCCGCGCTACTCCAGACTTCGTGGTAAAAGGGAGGGGGTCTGGACCCTCCAAGACGAGCCATTTCAGACCCCCCCTCGTGGGAGAACCCTCCAGAACATCGTCCCCAGACCCCCCCCGGCCCTCCAAGATGGCCTGGAAGAGACCCCCCCGAAATGAGACCCCCCTCCCTTTCTTACGAAATCTGGAGTACTCGGCCATGCGAGGCCCCTCCCAGCCACCTTGGCGGCGCCCCGAGCATATTCCCCGCGACCGGAAGGAGCGGTGGGCCGAGCTCGGCAGCCCCCGACCTCGGCTCGCCGTCGAGACGAGGGGCACCCCACCGAATCTGGATGTATGTAGATACGGCGGGTTTGTGTCGTGACGACCCCAGCGTTGGTTTCTGACATCGCGTTGATCGTTCAACCTTGAACGATCGGCGGCTTATCGATTGCCATATCGTTCCATATTAGGACGATTCTGGGCCACTGGCGGCGTTCAACCTTGAACGCCCGCGGCGGGGTCGCGACGAGTCGACACGACGCGAACCTACCGTAGCCGGCTGCCCAGAGCAACACAAGTCGCCTTGGGCACCTCTATTTCTGGGTGCCCCGCGGAATCTTGGCCCACAGATCCTGGTTCGGCACTGACCCTACACATACACAACCCCGAGCACGGGCACGACCGCAGCAGCGGAGCGCGACCACCACGCACGGGAGAGGAGCCGACAGAAAAAAACTCTACCCAAGGCCGGGTCCAAAGCGAGATGCCTGGCACCTTCGGCAATCTGCAGACGGCCCCCTGACAGGGACACGAACCCCTCCGCAGAATAGCCAGGCCCCCCTGTCCATTCGGCTGAAGAGCGCCAATGGCGGCACCGCAGCACCGCCCCCCTGGTGCCAGCGCGATGGACCCCTCCCGAGCGATCCCCGAAAACAGCGGCGCGGCCGTACTGGCTTCGTCGGCGGCGAGGCAGAGGCACTCCGCTCCAGCGTGTAGCTAATCGGGGCAACCGAAATGCGAACTGTCCGGAGTGCAAGAGAAAGGAAAAAGACGAGGGCGGCCGCGCGGGGGAAGGAGGGGAGCGAGCGCTCAGACGTGGAAGGCACTGCGGCCGTGCACAAGGAGCGGGAGAGCCTCGCGGATCGGACAGGTACCGCCATTTCCTGGGCTGGGAAACGAACGGCCTTCGGGGCACAGGTCCGCTGGGCCGGTGAAATGCCTTGAAGCTGGAGAGCTGGCGCCTGCCAGGGAATGAGGGAGGACGGACGTGGCGAAAGGGAGCGAGCAGAAAGACAAGAAACTGCAGAAGCGCAAGCGGTCGGAGGTCCGCAGGGACCTCCAAAGCGGTTAACTGTGCGTAAGGCGCTCTCCATTCTAAAAGGAGGCCTCGCGCCTGCGAGAAACAGAAACGTGGAGGGCGGAGGAATGGAGGGAGGAGGGAGGGAGGGAGGGAGGGAGGGAGGGAGGGAGGGACGGACGGGGGTATCGCGGGGATGGAGGGAGGGAAGGGACGGAAGGGAGGTAAGGGAGGGAAGGAAAGGCAGGGCGAGGGGAAGGGAGGCAAGGGAGGGAGAGGAGGGAACGGCCAGGAAGGAGGGAGGGAGGGAGCGAGGGAGGGGAGGGGAGGGCTGGGAGGCGCTGGAGAAAAAGCATGGATGGGAGGACAGAGAAAGCGTGGGTGCAAAAACCAGGCGGCAGGGCAGCGCCGACGGCGCCCCGGCGGGGCCGCAGGACGCCGCCCGCGAGGAGCGCGGCGCCGGCGACGGGCACGGCGGCGCCGACGAGGCCGCCGATGGTCTTCTGGAACTCCGCCTGCAGGGAGCCGCGGGCTGCGCCTCCCCCCCCCCCAGCCATCCTCGGGGCAGCAGGCCCCGGGCACGCCTCCCTTTTGCAGTGGGGAGGCGGCGGCGCGAGAGGAGGAGGAGGAGGAGGAGGGGGGGAGGAGGAAAGGAGGGGGAGAGAGTGAGGAGGAGGAGGGAGGAGGTAGGAGGAGGATGGAGGAGGAGGAGGAGAGGAGCGAGGAGGAGGAGGAGGAGGAGGAGGGGGAGGAGGAGGAGGGGTGAGGAGGAGGAGGGGGAGGAGGAGGAGGAGGAGGAGGGAGGAAGGAGGAGGAGGAGGAGGAGGGGGAGGAGGAAAAGGGAGGGGGAGGAGGAGAAGGAGGGGTGGAGGAGGAGGAGGAGGAGGAGGAGGAGGAGGAGGAGGGAGGAGGGGAGGAGGGAGGAGGGAGGAGGGGGAGTGAGGAGGAGGCAGGAGGAGGAGAAGGAGGAGGAGGGAAGAGAAGCAGGAAGAGGAGGAGGAGGAGGAGGAGGAGGAGGAGGAGGAAGAGGAGGAGGAGGAGGAAGAGGAGGAGGAGGAGGTCCAGGGCCGGCAGGGAAGCTCGGCCCTGCCCTCCCCCCCCTGGGGGGCGGCATGCGAACCCTAGCCCCCCGCCGCTCCCCGAGTTGCCCCCGAGTCGTGGATCGGCGAGGGTAGGGTCCGGATTTCGCCGCCGGCGATGGTGCATATCTTACGCATCATGAAGAATTCGACGCAGTGGTGTGCGGTCTCCCCCCCCCTCCCCGCGCGCCTGCACGCGAGAACGCGTGCCGAACGAACGTGTGCATGTTCGGCCCCGTGTCCCCTCCGGCGCTTGTCATGCGCGGAGGATGCGACGCCCCAGCGTTCGATGGCCCCCATCTGGCGCCTGCACGCGCAAGAGCATGGCAAGAGCATGCGCCAAATTCGCGCGTGTCGAACGCATGTTCGATACCCTCCCCCTGCGCACGATTTTCCGCGACTGAAAAATCCAACGCTGCCTGCTTCGCACACCTCTGGCACGGGGCCCAAGGCCCCGCAACACAAAGAGCACCCTGGTCTGGAGCCCTCACGGGGGCAAAGCTGGCCCCTGCATGCGAACGTTTTCTTATCCAGCGTTTCGACACTGGGCGGACGCGGGGGCAGGGGGGGGGTCTCGCTCCGGACCTCTGCTTGCTGCGACTGTCTGCAGCAGTGCGTCCCATGGGGGAGACTCCACCTGCCTGAAACAGGCGCCAGAAACAGCCAACGTCTACTCGGCGGGGAGGGGGGGCGCGAGGGCCTGCGCCTATCGGCAAAACACTGAATAAAAACACGAACGCGATCCTCCTCCTGCATTTTTCGGGGAGCACCAGCCTTAGAGCCAGTCTCCCACTTGATTGTATAGTCGGCCCTGGCTCGCCTCTGACGGTGGCCACGCTCCTTTAATGGAGACATCCAAAAAATGGGCCCGAAAAGATGGGGTCGGAGGACCCCATCGCCAATGCCGCCTCCTCCTCCTCCTCCTCCTCCTCCTCCTCCTCCTCCTCCTCCTCCTCCTCCTCCTCCTCCTCCTCCTCCTCCTCCTCCTCCTCCTCGACCACTGCGATTGAAAGCACCGACTCGTTCGCTCCCACGCCGCCACTCGGCGGCGGCCTCCTCACTCCCTGGGGGGGGAGGGGCGCCTCCTCGGCCCGGCGCCTCGCGTCCTCCCGCTTCTTCTCCTCGATTCTGGCGTTCACCTGCGCGGGAGAGGGGGGGTTGAGGGGGGGGAGGGGGAGGGGGAAGAGGACGAGGAGGAGGAGGAGGGGGGGGGAGGAGAGGAGGGAGGAAAGAGGACGAGGAGGAGAGAGGAGGAGGAGGAGGAGGAGTGAGGAGGGGGCGGAGCGGGAAAAAGAGGGGAGGGGGAGGGGGGGGGGGGGGCGAGGAGGGGGGAGGAAGACGGGGGAGGAGGGGGGGAGCGGAGAAGGAGGAGGAGGAGGAGGAGGAGGAGAGGAACGAGGGGAACGAGGGAGAAAAGGGGAAGGGGAACATTCAGCACTCAGCATATGATACAGGAGCCAAGTGCAAGCCTGGCGGCCGTGCCGAGATCAACCACGAGGGGAAAGAGAGTCCCGACTCAGGCCCCCCCAACATCCCGATACGACTGAACGCTGCATGGCCGCTTAACCAATACAGTCTCGGGAGGCCCACGGGTGGGCGGGCATTGTATCCTGAAGTTTCGGGCACCCGAAACACCCACACCGCGAGCAGAACACATTACCACTAAGAGTGGCCAGCAGGTGCGAAGGGTGAGAGGCAGTGGCCAGCCAAGTGTCCCGACGCGGCATCGAACGGCAATGTCCCCGCCCCCCACCCCCGCACGCCCAGCTGGGCTCCCACCCCCGGCAGGCTCAGACACGTGGCCGAGTGCTGCTTTCCTGCAGCGCGAAAGCAAAACCTGGACAGCAGACCTCGCCGCGAAAACTCCACACAACATGTATTGCACCTGGCCTGCCGCAAGATGGGGCCTGGGGCTGCCGTCGTGATGTCGAGCGGCGCCTCGGCTTTCTCGCGCCCGTGGGTGAGGGAACCAGAAGGTACTCCAGATTTCGGAATAAAGGGAGGGGGTCTCATTCAGGGGGGGGGTCTCTTCCAGGCTGTCTTGGAGGGCCTGGGGGGGTCTGGGGACGATGTTTTGGAGGGTTCTCCCACGAGGGGGGGTCTGAAATGGCTTGTCTTGGAGGGTCAAGACCCCCTCCATTTTATTACGAAGTCTGGAGTACCGATACCGCTACTCCCCAGACCTCTCCCGGGGGGGGCGCTCTGACCAGCGTTTCGGGGCGACTCCAGCGGCGGCGACGGAGAGCCGCCCAGGAGGCCCAAAAAAAGGGAAGACGAGGGAAGGGCAGAGGTAGGGTAACCGCTTCCTCCTCTGAATCTCAGGGGAGACGAGGGAAAGGCATCGGCGTCTGCAGGCGACGCGCTCCACCGTGGGCCCCTTGTGGTCCGTTAACTAGCCTTCCGCGGTCTCTTCGGCGGTCGGCGGCGGCCTCCGGCGGTCTTTCGGCGGCGGTGCCCGGCGATCCTCGGCGGCCTCCGCCGGTCTTGGGCGCGGAAGCCGAGGGGCTGTTTTCAACGAGGGGCCCACGATCGGCGGCGAGCGGGGGGGAGGAGACGAGAAGAGAAAGGCCTTCCCAAAGGCTCGGAAGTCCCCCGGCCTTCTGAGAAGTTTTCGAAGCCTTCCCCGAAGACAGAAGAAACTTCTCAGAAGGCGCGAGGGCTTCTGAGAAGTCCCGCCGCATTGTCGGAAGGCCTTCTCCTGTTCAGTTCCCCCCCTCGCTCGCCGCCGACATGATCGAGCACACAACAATGCTGCGGATTCCACAAGACAGGGGCGGGGGGTCACAACCCTCCCGTACGAGCAAGTTGAGGCCCCCCCCCAGGCCGGCCACGAGAGGGCGGCCTCTTGCCCAGACCGCCTGGAACCCTCCAAGACAGCTAAAATCTGACCCTCCCCCAAGTGAAGTCCCGAAGTTGTCATTCCCGCCGCCGACAGGAAACTGCCGTGCGCCACCGAGTCCCTGCCTTCCCTCGCACTGCAGCGGTGCGGCGCCTGGTTGGACACCGCCAGGGCCGGCAGCGCCAGGGAGAGGCCTGCGCGGGCGCGGTCTCTCTGCGGGTCTCCGCGCGCGCCGCTCGGCCGAGTGCCGAGCGAGAGGAACACGAGCGGGGGGAGATGCGATAGCGAACAGAAAACTGTTTTGATCCGCGGGTCGAGAGCGAGCCTCTTCCGGTCGAAGCTCGCGAGCAGAAAGCATACACATGAACATCCAGAGGCCAGAGCGGATTTCTCGCGCCGGTGCTGCAAACAAAGGACACGCAGGCCGGCCAGGGGGGGATGGCGTGCCGAACGGCCTGCCGGGGTGCCGCTGCCAGGCCCGAGGGGGGCGCGGGGAGGTCGTCGGAGGAGGTCCTGGCCTGGGGGAGCTCCAGCTGTGCACGCCACGGCGGAGCCCCTTGGGGCCCCCTGGGCCTCATGAGGATGAAGGGGAATGGGGACACACAAAGAAGTACACAAATAAAAATATCCCCCATAGTTTCACATATTTTCTGGGTTTTTGTCTTCCCGCCCACTTCCCATATTTTCCGATATTTTCTGGGAATCGCCGATTAACTGTGTCTGTGTGTTTTTACCCCTCCTCAGAGGAACGCTTTGGAGGCCATCTGGGCCTCCCTGGGAAAGCTGGGGTCGCCCGGGGCCGGGGCCACCCCTGGCAACGCTCGGCGATGGCAGGGTGTGGGCCTTGCCGCGCCCTTGAGAGATAGGATGATCAGTGGTCTCTGGAGTGCGAGGAGGAGGCACGCTGCGCCAATTGCCGACAGCACCTGCTCAGTTGGGCCGGCGATCCGAACTCCGGACCACCGGGCACACTGATCTGCCGAGAAGTCGGGTTCTGTTCGAGCCGTCGCGCGCAAAGGCAGTCCAATGATTTCGATATGCGCGCGCGAGAAGCCCGTTTGGTCGCATGTGATGAGAAGGTGGAAAAACCGCTAGCTTTCGTAAGAGAGATTCCGGAGACCGCGCGCGTTGACTTTTTTCGATAAAACATGCTGCGAAAACCATGTGCGGGTTTTGAGCATGTTCGGGGCACTCGACATTGAAATCCTTACGATACCTTCTTGGTTTGTTTGAAGATTCTGGCATGCGCGCACGACGACGTGCGCGTATGCATTTCGCCTCATTCTCAACAAGGGATTCTTGGAACTGATGATTCTTCATAAACGAATATGCGCGCACAGCGTTATTGTGCAGAGGATGGTGGACGGGGTCAACACCGGTTTAGCTGGGATGGTGTTAATGAATATTCAAATGAACGATGGGGCAGAATACTATGTAAGTTGCACATCCCCAAGGTAGAAAGATAATGCCAGGAAGTAGATCCGAATTCTTGTTGCACGGAACATATAAGATGCGCAATAGATGTGGAGCCACCTACGTGTTGCAACGTACGTGGTGCAAACTATGTTGTGCAACCTACGCTGTGCAGCATATGTTTTGCGCAACCTATGTGGTGCAATCTATGTTGTGCAATATGTGTGGTGCAATTTATGTTGGGCAGCCTACGTGGATCAAAACAACTGGAGCAATAGATGTGGTGCTGTCTACGTTGAGCAGTTTACGTTGTGCAATATATACATGTGGCACTTTATCAATGGTGCAGTCTATGTGGTGCAACTCACCCTGCCGAACTTGGCGTTGTTTCCTCCACTGCTCGCGCAATCATCCCACCCACCCTCCCAGCTGGTTTGCAAAACCCATGCGGCGGCGATTGCGATGACTGCTCGGCGCTGGCTCGCGCATCGCCGCGGCCGCGTTCGCGCGCATGCTCGCGCGCAAACTGGCCAGCGAGCTTGGCGCGACCGACGCGGCCGCGGTGGCGCTGACCGCTGGGCACTTCCCAGCGGGCACTTCCGTGCGAGTCGGCGACTTGGGCGGGCGCGGTAATAAGGAAACGTCGACAACGGTAGACGCGATCATGATAGTAGCGATGCTGGGGGCAAAGGTGACAACGACGACGGCACGACCAGTGGCGGTGCCGATGCTGACAACGATGGCGTCCTCACGTCGGTGATAAGTTTTTGGAAGCAGTTCGACATGCGCGCGCGGTCGACGCGAGAGTGGCCCGCATGGTGTCATCTGACACGGATCGTGCCCCCTCCCACCCCTAGCACGCGCGCAAAGGCGTTCGAATGAGTTCGACATGCGACGCAAGAGGCCCGATTGGCAGAATTGAATGAACATGTCAACAAACCGATGGTACCTTACGACTTCGCAAAACTGCGAGCGCATGCTGTTTAAAAAACTGATGTTGCGGTCTCTCGATGTTGTTGAATTATGTACGAAACCTCCACTTCTTTTGAGATTCTGGCATGCGCGCACGACGGCGCGCGCGTGTGCACTTGGTCCCGTGTTTTGCAAGGGACTCCAGCGACAGCGCGCACGCAAGAGCGTTCGAGCGATTTCAACATGCGCGTACGAGAGGCACGTTGAGTAGCATGTTATGAAGCTGTTGAAAAAAGCATATGACTTTCTTAATAATTCGAAAGAGCGCGAGCGCAGGCTTTTGATGCAAATTCGTCTTGCGAAACTATGTGATGCTAATGTTTTTTGGACACTCGATTTTGAAATCCTTGCGAACCCTGAGGTGTTTGAAGGATTGCGGCATGCGCGCGACGAGGCGCGCGTGTGCACTCCGTCCCATGTTTTGTGAGGAAGTCTTAAAAACTGAAGGGTTTTGATAAACGAGTGCGCGCGCACAGTACCTTTGCAGGCGATGAGGGGGGATTACCAGTTTGGACGGGACAAGATGGATTCCTATTTAGCATGGGCGATGAGGCAGAATCAATACGAAAAGGGGGGGCGTCAAGTCCGGGGGGGAGAGGGGGGGGGGATGTTACCTCAAGTGGATACGGAGTGGGCGTGTCCTCAATCCTTTGCCCAATCCCGTGAGCCTCAGTCCTCGATCATGCAGGTTCTTAATAACCCCAGAACCCGAATTCACAAATCTCCTCGAGCCTGCCACGGCTTCACGCATGCCTGCCGCGGCTTCTCGCGTGACCTTACCGGGCCCAAGAGGGCCTCGAGACGGGGGCCACAAGGGCCTCAAGAGGCTCTCATGACGGCCCGAGAGGGCCCCGAGACACCCAAAGGTCGCCCCAAGACGCCCAAGATGGCCCCAAGACGGCCCAAGAAGCCTACAGGACGCTCCAAGAGGCTTCCAAGAGGCCTCCAAAGAGGGCTCCAAGAGACCACAATATTGATGCTCCATTCGTTTCTGAAGGATTAGAAGGCGTTCTCGCCTTTTCGGCTCCCCTGCGCTCCAAGACTACACAAGAGGCCCCCAAGATCGTCCCAAGACGGCCCAAGAGGCTTTCAAGAGGGCCCCAAAACGGCCCAAGAGGGATCCAAGACGGCCCCAGGGGCGCCTGAGACGGCCCAAGAGGCCCCAAAGACGGCTCCAAGAGGGGGAGCAGATGGGGGACCCGAACGAGCATCTCAAGCCCTTGGCCCCGAGGGGCCCCCAGGAGGCCCCAAGAGGCCCCCTAAGAGGCCCCCAAGAGGTTCCCAAGAGGCCCCAAAACTGCGCCCGAGAGGCCCCGAGAGCGCTCCGATAAGACCCCAAGAAGCATCCCGGAGAACTCTGACCCGCAACCCAGGTACGGTGCGGGGACGGGCCGAAGGCCATCAGATGTGTGTTGCGTAATATATGTCCAGCAATACTTGTGGTGCAACTTGTGCAGCGCAGTAGAGGTTGTGCAGCATACATACGGTGTCTGCAAACTACGTGGTGCAAATTGATTATGTGGCGGCGACGAGGCGGCGACGGTGCAGCGACGGGGCGGCGACGGCGACGGCATAGCCGCCAGACCGCCACGCCAGCCCAGACGACGGGCGGCGACGAGGCGGCGCGACGGGGCCGCGACGGCGACGACTTAGCCGCCGCCCCACCACACAGGCCCAACTCCCCAGAAAATGGATAAGAACCCCTGAGTGCAAGCACCGCTCGGGGAACCAGCTAGCAATACAGTCCCGAACAAGGAAGATCCAAAAGCCTCTTTTTGATGATTCGCGATAACGGGCGTGATCCGGGGAGGGGAGGGGGGAGTTCGTCCCACCCGATCACATCACGGCGGGTGGCCGCCAGGACTCCTAGGAGATCCCCCAGAACCCGCAGGGAAATCATTGTAAAATGTGGGCATCAAGGCGTGACGTGATCCAGGGGATCCAGGGTATTGGGGGGGAGGAGGAGGAGGAGGAGGAGGAGGAGGAGGAGGAGTGAGGAGATGAGGAGGAGGACGGAGGAGGAGGAGGAGGGGAGGATGAGCAAGGATGAGGGAGGAGGAGGAGGAAATGGAGGGGGAGGGGGAGAAGGAGGAGGAGGAAGGAGGAGGAGTGAGGAAGGAGGAGGGGAGGAGGAGGAGGAGGAGGAGGAGGGGGGGGGAGGGGGAGGGGGAGGGGAGGGGGGAGGGGGGAGGGGGAGGGGGAGGGGGAGGGAGGAGGGGGAGGGGGAGGGGGAGGTGGGGGGAGGGGGGGGGAAGGGGGAGGGGGAGGAGGCGGAGGTAGGATGGGAGAGGAGGAGGCGGGGAGAGGAGGAGGAGGAAGGAGTGAGGAGGAGGAGGAGGAGGAGGAGGAGGGAGGGGGGGTGGAAGGTGGTGAGGGGGGGAGGGAAGAGGCCGGTCACGGCCGCCATTGCCCAGACCTCACAGAAACATGCTCTTCTCCTGACCCCCTTCGGCGGCAACTCATGAGAGCCTACCATACCATCTTGTCGGCTCTTGGGAATCAACATTAATCGACGCTGATCGACGCTAAATCGACGCGAACCGACGCTAGCCGACGCTAAATCGGCGCTATCTCATCGACTCCCAAACGCTAAGCGACGCTGCTCGACGCTAAAGACGGAATTGAGAGGGTATACCAGGCCCCCCATGATTTGCGACCGAATCGGCAGGCGGAGCAGGCTCCCACGGCACTGCTCCCCGTGGCCCACTTTGAGAGCAGGCGGCGGCGCCGAGCGCCAAGAGCAACGGCGCCTCCGCCCACGACCACGCCCAGCAGCTTGTCCGAGGAGACGGACCTGCCCCGTGCACGGGCAGGGGAAACAAGGAGCCGAACTCTATATACACCGACGCTTCTTCAGGCCCCGCACTAAAACTCGCACAGGAAAGCGGATCCTGGAGTACACGGGATCCTGGTGTATACATTTCTCGTTGTTTCCCCGGGAACAAAAGGAAAAGTGTACACCAGAGCACCCCGACGTCGTCCCCGACCCTCAAAAAGTCCTGAGATTGAAAAACAGCCCGCCACTGGTAATGTATATGCTCCAATTTCCCGGCCAGGTGCATGCTGCCAGAACGACAACGACCGAAAAACGACGACGACCGACGACGACGACGACGACGACGACGACGACGACGACGACGACCACGACGACGACGACGACGACGACGACGACGACAACGACGACCACGACGACGACGACGACGACGACGACGACGACGACGACGACGACGGCGACGACGACGGAGACGACGACGACGACGACGACGACGACGACGACGACGACGACGACTACAACCGACGACGACGACGATGACGACGACGACGACGACGACGATGACGACGGCGGCGGCGGCGGCGGCCACCACGGACAGGGGAAAGACTCTTGCTGAACTCGGCTAGACTGAACTCGGCCCGGGCCGAATCCAGCTCGGCCGAATCTCAAGAACGTACAGACCTGGGTCAGTCCAGACCCGGGTCAGTCAGGCTCTGCAGGATCCTGATCCAAGACCCTGGTTCTGCAGGATCCTGCAAAATCCAGCGCTCCGACTGACCCCGTCTGCCTTGACCACAGTCTCTCCTCCTCATCCTCCTCCTCCTCCTCCTCCTCATCCTCTTCCTCGTCCTCCTAACTCCTCCATTCCTTTTCCTTATAAATAACTTCTCCCTGTCGCACCCCGAGGCCAGTTATTACGGCAGGCAAGGCGTTTCGCCTGAGACTTCCTCACCGCTTATGACCCTGAAGATAAAAAATGACAACAGTTCCACAAATGGAAAGCGGATGGTTTTCAAAGTGTGGCTCTCGCCTTAGCACCGCGCACACCCTTCTTAAACATTGCAAGAGTTTCACGGATTGAAAGCGGCTCCTTTTCAAAATGTGGCTCTCGCATTAGTGTCGCGCACATTCGCATTCAAAAATTTGAAGGAGCTTCACGGATTGAGGGCGGGTGGTTTTCAAAATGTGGTTCTCGCCTTATCGCTGCGCGCATTCATTCATACAAATTATAAGATTTCTACGGATTCCCATGATCAACGTACCAGAAATGGCGTCTTGGAAAGAGTCAAGATTACGCGGGTGCAACAGTTACGCTGACTCCCGGTGTTGAAGTCCCAGGAATGGCGTTCTGCAACAATTCAGCCTCAACAGTCAGGTTGATCCGCGGCGTTGGAACCCCGAGAACCATGTTTTGGCATGCTCCAGAACCGTCAAACGGTTGTCTTCCGACGAGGCAGTTCCCTCAGTGGAGATGAATCGTTGTATGAGACCATGAAGAGGAAGCGTGGAGGGAGGGTGTATTCGAAAATCCTTGATGACTTTTGGACTGACTCTGGTCCTCTTCCTCCTCCTTCTCCTCCTCCTCCTCCTCCTCCTTCTTCTCCTCCTCCTCCTCCGCTTCCTCCTCCTCCTCCTCCTCCTCCTCCTCCTCCTTCCTCTCCTCCTCCTCTTTCTCCGCCTGCTCCTCCTTCTCCTCCTGCACCTCTCCTCCTCCTCCTCCTCCTCCTCCCTCCTCCTCCCCCTCCTCCTCCTCCTACTCCTCCTCCTCCTCCTCATCCTCCTCCTCCTCCTCCTCCTCCTTCCTCCTCCTCCTGCCTCCTCCTCCTCCTCACTCCTCATCCCCATCCTCATCCTCTTCCTCTTCCTCTTCCTTCCTCCTCCTCCTCCCTCCTGCTCCTCATCATCCTCCTGATCCTTCTCCTCCTCCTCCTCCTCCTCCTCCTCCTCCTCCTCCTCCTCCTCCTCCTCCTCCTCCTCCTCCGTATCCTTCTGCATCCTCCTCCTCCTCCTCCCTCCCTCCTCCCTCCTCCTCCCCCTCTCTCCTCCTCCTCCTCCTCCCCCTCCTCTTCCCCCTCCTCCTCCTCCTCCTCCTCCTCCTCCTCCTCCCCCTTCTCCTCCTCCTCGCCCATTTCTCCGTCGCCAACCCTCGTCTCCGCCCCCCCCTGGCGCACGGCACGTCCAGCGAGGGCAGCGACAGCGCGGGGAGGAAGTCCTGGACGAAGTTCTGGGAGCAGCGGGCCAACCGCCCCCGCCCGCGCCAGAGGCCTTCCTACGACAAAGCCAGGACGAGGCAGAATCGAGCGAGGATAACTCGGAAATCTCTGAGATCCGGCGGCCCTGGAGGATGCCTCAGGCGCCGCGGCCTTCTCGGAGAGTTCCGAAACGCTCTGGGAGCGCTCCGAGACGCTCTGGAACGGATTTATCCTCGCCCTAACCCCGCCCAATTCCCAACACCCCTGAGAGGAGGAGGAGGAGGAGGAGGAGAAGGAAGAGGTGGAAGAGAAGGACGACGAGGAGGAGGAAGAGGAAGAGGAAAAGGAGTAGGAATAGGAGGAGGAGAGCAGAGCAGCGCAGCGCAGCGCAGCGCAGCGCAGCGCAGAGCAGAGGAGAGCAGAGCAGCGCCGATGATCCGAGACGCACCACTGGAAAATATACGGACGCAACCAGAAGCCCCTAAGGAATATGGGCGGATCGGGCTACGGGCCCTGCGGGGGTATACCTCTGGGACAAAAAAGGGTCCTCCATACGGGGAACGTCACTGGGGGCTCGCCCATGCACTCCACCGCTGCGAGGGCCAGGGGTGAAAGCCACCCCACTAGGTCTCGCGACCGGGGACGGCCCAAACATCGGACGGACGGGAGGATCCCGAGAGACGACCTTCCCCCCAGACTGCTCTCGGCAATGCGAAGAATGAGGAGGTGGAGGAGGAGGAGGAGGAGGCGGAGGAGGAGGAGGGGTGCCTCGCTTCTCCTCGCTCCTCCTCATTATTATTGTTTTTCCTCCTCCTCCTCCTCCTCCTCCTGCTCCTTCTCCTCCTCCGTCTCCTCCTCCTCCTCCTCCTCCTCCTCCTCCTCCTCCTCAGCCTCCTCCTCCCCTCCTCCCCCTCCTCCTCCTCCTCCTCCTCCTCCTGGCTCCTGTCTCTCTTCCTCCTCCTCCTTTTCCTTTTCCTTCTCCGCCTCCTCCTCCTCCTCCTCCTCCTCCTCCTCCTCTTCCTCCTCCTCCTACTCCTCCTCGCTCCTGTTGCTTCTCATCATCCTTCTCGCTCCTCGCTCCTCGCTCCTCGCTCCTCGCCTCTCCTCCGCCGTGGCCGCCTCGGTGGCCGCCGGCTGCGGGCCGCCCCTGTGTCGGGTAGCTCACGTAGCCCTGGCCGGTGCCGGACCCGCGGCAAGGGGCCTTTTGTTCTGTGCCCCGTCCATTGCCGCGGGTCCGGCACCGCCCACAGCTACGGGGCGGGCCACCAAGGAGGCCACGGCGGAGGAGGGGCGAGGAGTGAGGAGCGAGGAGCGAGGCGGACGATGAGAAAGAGCAGGAGCGAGGAGGAGGAAGAGGAGAAAAAGGAGAAGGATGGGGAGGAAGAGAAACAGGAGAAAGGAGAAAGAGGAAAAGGAAGAGGAAGAAGAAGAAGGAAGAACGAGGAGGGGCGAGGCACCCCTCCTCTTTCTCCTCCTCTTCCTCCTCCTCGTCCTCTGATTCCTATCAGCAGTTAATTAATTATTAATCTTATGACTAGTAGTAGTAGTAGTAGTAGTAGTAGTAGTCGTAGTAGTAGTAGTAGTAGTAGTAGTAGTAGTAGTAGTAGTAGTAGTAGTAGTAGTAGTAGTAGTAGTAGTAGTAGTAGTAGTATAGTAGTAGTAGTGTAGTAGGTAGTAGTATAGTAGTAGTAGTAGTATAGTAGTAGTAGTAAGGTTAGTAGTAGTAGTAGTAGTAGTAGTAGTAGTAGTAGTAGTAGTAGTAGTAGTAGTAGTAGTAGTAGTAGTAGTAGTAGTAGTAGTAGTAGTAGTAGTAGTAGTAGTAGTAGTAGTAGTAGCTGTTGTTGCAGTAGTATTGGTATATGCTCCAGTAGTAGTCCTGTTATTATGAATAATGATATTGGTATTGTCCGTAGGCGTCTTGTCAGTATTCTGACTTGTTTATTTATTATCGCGGTTCTTGTTATTACCCGTATTCTTCTTGTAATTCATAATGTGTTAAATCATTATTATTGTTAGTTTTAAGTGAATTATTATTGTTGCTGGTAGTAGTTCTTTCATTTTAAATAACGTTAGTATTAGCATCATCGTTATATTTCGTCTTCCTATATTTTTCTGATGACTCTCGTTATTATAACTATGGTTAGTGGAGAATTCGTTGTAGCCCTCCGGATATCACTCATATTAATTACTTGATTGCTATCCCCCCTCGTGGCATTATTGTTCGCAATACTCTTCTCTTATGATTAGAGTGTTTGCTATTTGCAAATAGAATTTATAATATAAATATGACTATTAGCGTTACTATGATCCGTCTTCCTTTGACGCTGTGTGCCCCAGTTTCTGTGATCGGCGCATTATGAAGAAATATAT